GGACAGGCCTGCTTTTCGCATCGGAGACTTGCAGTTGCCTACAGTTCAGAAGCTCCAGCTCACTGCAGCGTGAGACGAGCTCGAGCTTCCGTAGAGAAACCTGATTCAGCCGCTGATACTGACTGGACATGCTCCAGCGATTTCGGACTGTGTCGGGATGTCACACAATATATCTTTGGGCCTTGTGTGTGCCACACTGGTTTTCTTTGCGGCCGTGTGATTCAAGACAGTTGCTCAATTGGCCTTAGCCGAAACCTTGCCATGACGGTCTTCAATTTGTGCCTCGAGGTTTGTAGCCCTGCCGCCATGAAGACGTGGGAGACGCTGGCGGAAGCCTTGACAGCAACGAGCGAGAAGGTCAAGTTTCTGCAGACCTTGAGTATCACGCAGCAACGTGAAAATGTAGGTGCAGTAGTGCGCAGGGCCGGATGGGACTCGGCAGCCGCCGCTGCCGTGGTTGACCATCCGTGACGCGCTGGTGCTAAGCCCGCTTTGGGACAGCCTGCGCCGACACTTTCCAGAGCTTCCAGGCCAAGTGATGCTTCAGCGAAGCGCGCCGCAACTGGCGAAGGCAACATCGACATCTAGACCCAGCTATTCCGCTCCACTACTGTGCACTTGTCTTCCAATTTGCTATTCTGTTCTCGCACCGCTGTCAGAAGCAGGCGTGGATGAGAGCTTCTCTTCTCGAGCTGTGCAGCTGTTTCATGCACGTTGGCTTTTTCGTGCCTCCGCATGTCTTGTTTTCGCGTCGCCCTCAGAGATAGGAGTTTGGCCGTCTGATGCACAGGACTTGTGGTTTTGTATCTCCTTGTAGTGAGTCTCTTGTAGAGATGTCAGTCGATCTCGCATTGCAGGGAAAAGACCTTGCCCAAGGATGGCTACGTGACAGTGGGGCTCGTGCAATGGTCACCCAGTCTCGTGTTTCGCTTCGCATCTGACTTCAACAAGATGGTAGACAGGACCGCTTTTTGCATCAAAGACATGCAGTTGCCCACAGTTCAGAAGCTCCAGCTCACTTCAATGTGAGACGAGATCGAGCTTTCGAAGAGGCCTGATTCAGCCGCTGGCACTGACTGGACGTCATCATGTCACTCAGGTATCTTTGGGCCTTGAGTGCCGGACTGGCTTTCTTTGTGGCCGTGTGATTCAAGACAGTTGCTCACGTGGCCACCCCTTTATATCCATTTTGTTTGAGCCGAAGCCTGCCGAGGGCATGGAAGGATAGGCAGTTGTCGCCCCTTTTATTTCACTTGTCTCGGATGGGATAGACAAGCTTGACAAAAAGGACTGCAGCTCACTGTAACATGAGACGAGATCAAGCTTACGAAGAGGTGCCCATTAGTTGGTGCTGATTGCAACTCCTCCAGCGATTTCGGACTGTGTCAGGGATGTCACGCGGACATGTCTGGGCCTTGCGTGTGCCACGCTGGTTTTCTTCACGGACGTGTGATTCAAGCCAGTTGCCCAAATGGTCTTAACCGACGCATTGCCAAGGGCATGGCAAGGATGGGCACATGACAGTGGGGCTCGTGCAATGGTCACCCAATATGTTGTCTTGCCTCGCATCTGACTTTAACAAAATGGTGGACAGGCCTGCTTTTCGCATCGGAGACTTGCAGTTGCCTACAGTTCAGAAGCTCCAGCTCACTGCAGCGTGAGACGAGCTCGAGCTTCCGTGTTTGAAGCCAAGGATAGGCAGTTGTCACCCAATCTCTTCTCGTGTCCCGGATGGGAAATACACGAAAGCTTGATAAAAAGGGCCGCTTCTCACCGCTGAGCAATTCGGAACACGCAATTGCTTGCGCTTCAGAAGTTCCGGCTAATTGTAACGTGAGACGAGATCGAGATGACGAAGAGACGTCTACTTGGTGGCACTGACTGTAGATCCTCCAGCAATTTCGGACTGTGTCAGGGATGTCACCACACTTGTCTGTTTCGCGGCTGTGTGATTCAAGACAGTTGAACCAGTGGCCTTAGCCAAAGCCTTGCCAAGGACATGACAGTGGGGCTCGTGCAGTTGCCGCCCAATTTCTTCTCTTGCCCTCTCTTTCTTTCACAAAGTGGTAGCAAGGACTGCTTCTTACCCCCCAACAAATCGGAACATGCAGCTGCTTTAACTGCAGCTCCGCCTCACTGCAGAGTGAACCGAGATCGAGCTCACGACAGTGGGCTCTGAAATTGTGTGCGATCCGCGTAGACTTGGTAAGAATGATGGCTTCTTACCACAGAGCAGATCAGAATGTGCAGTTGCCTAGAGTGAGGAAGCTGCAACTCACTGCAACGTGAGCTGTTCCTGGGACGCTTGGACATCCCCCATTGCTAGGAAATGCCCACTAGGGGTACGTATATACGTGACTCGAGGCAATTTTCGCGGGCACTTTCAGGGTTTCAAGAACCATTCGGGTTTTTGGCTATCTTGGCTCTACAAGAAAAACGCCCAGCTGGATGCATGACGTGCTTGGACTCTTCTTTTCTAACAATCTTGACTCCTTGTTGCTCCTCCCTTTCCCTAATTCTGACACCTTATTGAAGCCTTATTGCTCATCCCGAATCCTGACATGAACAGATGCCCGGAGAGCCTCTGGGCAATTTGGCCGAACTTGGGAACATGCACAGGGCATTTTCTTAGGCTCCCTACCCTGAGACGGGGGATGCTGCGACAGCGGTGTCGGGGCTCGGCGCCGCCCTCAGAGGTGCGGTGCTGTTCCTGGTGTTTCCATGTGTTTAGGCCTTTCTCAGAAGTAGGAGCTGGCCCATTGCAGATGCTGCTCTTGGAGCTTACGAAGAGAAGCCTGATTCAGCCGCTGGTACTGATTGGTCATCATCCTGCGATTTTGAACTGCGCGAGGCATGTCACGCAGATATCTTTGGGCCGGGTGTGCCACACTGGCTTTCTTTGCGATTCAAGACAGTTGCTCAAGTGGCCGTTCGATCATTGAACCGAGTCTTTGCCAAGAGTATGGCTCGTATCCCATGCAGTCGTTTCTTTAGGCCCGGGTGTTTTTAGGTTACGTAGTTGCTCTCGCACCTTTTAGGGGCAAACGCAAGGGACCCGTCCAAAGGGCAATCACAACGCGAACCTTGGACAAAGTTCGTTCAAGCTTGCCAGCCTTCGTCGAACCGTCGCGCCTTCGTCGAAGCTTCCCCCCTTCGTCGAGGCTTGTTCGGGTTCAGGGTTCGTCGACCCCGCCCGGGGCAAGTTGAGAGGTGGGAAGTGAAGAACATCAGGCTCGGCAAGCGCAGCTTCGGAAACCCTTGTCTTGCCTTCGTCGAAGTCGCCTGACTTCGCCGAGGTTCGTTTTGGAGGTTTTGGCCTTACAAGGTTCCCCCAAGGTCGGCTGGGGGTACGCCTTTGGGGGAGTCCCTTCTGTTCGGCCCCTAACCTTGTCCGAGCATCCCCGTCCTGCAGCTTTGCCTTACTTCGCGTTCGCGGGTCCGCGTTCGCGTACCCCTCGTGTGATGGGCCTGCTCGGCGCTCTCCCCCTACCATCTGCTTCGCCTAAGCCTACCATTCCCATTCGTTGGGCCGTTTCCCTACTCCAGGCAGAATCTCCGATCAAGGCCCACCGAAGATTGGGTCGGCCATACCAAAGAGGCATCCATGCGCCTTCGGTGTGCCTCATGTGCCTCGAGGTCTTTTGCAGCCATGAGGTCGAGAAAGTTGCTCAAGTCGCCTTGCATTCTTTGAACTGAGGCTTTGGAGATCTGTCAAGCAAGTGCTTCTGGTCTCGAGCATGGTAAAGAAAACTTTGGTAGAAAGCGCAGCTTTTTGTCCCAGAGCAAATCGGAGCATGCAGTTGCCCACACTTCAGAAGCTCCAGCTCAGTTGAAAGTGAAACGAGATCGATCTTACCAAGAGAGGCTCGACTCAGCTGCTGGCACTGTTTGGACGTCCTCCATCGATCTCGAAGTGTGTTCGGCCTTGTGATTCAAGACAGTTGCTCGCGTGGCGTTACCATGGCCTTTGCCAAGGGCATGGCAAAGATGGGTACATGGTCTCGTGCATTTTGTCGGCCATGTCTTGACGAGGTTGCAAGTTTGCCGCAGTTGATTTGCCAAGAAAATGCGGTTGCTGTTGTGGTCCTTGCATCCACTCTTCAATAACAGACGAGACACTTTGCGTTGGCCCTGAAAGCATATTGGAACCCTTGCAATCCAGCCTGTGTGCGAGCCAAGCTGCACACGGAATTCCTTTGACTCCAGCTGACACAATGAAGGCAAGTTCGCGCCAGGTGCGACCAGCACTGCCCATGCTACGTGGTCAAAGGATCATGATGGCCGGGGGGTTGGGGGGGTGGTTGGATAAGATTCCTGCGCCTACCAACTGAGGCGTCGGGGACCTTGAACGCTATGAGGCTTTTGGGATACGAATGGGCAGTTTTGGGCAGTTTTGGGATAATCCTGGATGGCCGGGATGGCTACTGTTGCAGGTGTGGGAGGCATTTGGGATAAGCTTGGACAGCTTTGGGATAAGGTTGGACATTGTTGGGAGAAGCCTGGATCGCCTGGGGATACGCATGAATGGGCTTGCGATATCCAGACTTGTCGGACCTCCAAGAGAAGTGTTCCATTTTTAGAGCCTTAGAGCCTTAGAGCCCAGTGCCAAGTGCTCCACACTGCATGGATCCCCAGTCTCAGAGCAAGTGCCGTTCAAGAACTGACAGGGGGTTCCCTTACACTCACTCTTGATAGTCTCGGCCCACAAGGTCTGGCTGCAATACCAGGTGCGGAAAGCTTTCGCAAGGTTGCCAAATTCTCCGAGGCCGCGCCTTCGGTTGTACGCCGACTTGGCTTCAAGGGGTTACTGAGGCGCGTGCCAAGATCGTGAACTGTAGCATCTTTGCGCAGTTGAAGCCAGATGCGGCACTCACTATCTCTTTCAGAGTTGTTTTCGCACGGCTTGGAGGCTTGCGTTCGGCAGGATGTGCTACTGGCATGTCCTCCAGGGGGGGACCAATGATCCTCATGATCGAGCTTGCAAAGCGGCGCAACACGGGTCAAGTGATTGATTTCATTGAAGTCGTTGCCAGTTGCCGCAGTTGACTTGCCAAGAAAATGTGGTTGCCGATGTGGTCCTTGCATCCACTCTTCAATAACAGACGAGACACTTTGCGCTTGCACTGAAACCATATCGGAACCCTTGCAATCCAGCCTGTGTGCGTGCCAAGCTGCACTTGGAGTTCCTTTGACTCAAGCTGGCACAATGAAGGCAAGTTTGCGCTAGGTGCGACCAACGCTGCCCATGCTATGTGGTCAAAGGAGGGGCACATATTCGTGACCAGGAGATTGCCCTGTTGGGGTGAGCCCAGCTCGAGGGCGTGCATCTCACCCGTCATGATGTTTGCAATGCTTGGAGGCAAGGACACAAGTGCAAGAGCGGCGAAGAGCAGCGAAGGGGTCTCTGCAAGTGTTCCATCCTTTGCATGGATTCCCCGAGCAAGTGCCATTCCGCCAACCCGGCCAAGCCTCAAGGGACATAGAGCTGAAGCACACACAAGTGTCACGAGTCGACCTGTCCCAAGCTCTTGCTGCGCTTCTAGAAAGGTGCGGCAAGCTTTTGCATCACAGCATGAAGTTGTCTCAATTTGCGCCGCGATGTTGCTGAATATGGCACAGTTGACATCCAACTGCACAGCTCTGCGCGACCACGCCATATATACTCTAACCTCAGAAGAACCCAATCCCTCCCATTGTCCAGTACCATCTCCATGCTAAAGAGCAACGCGCTTCAAGATCAGAAGAATTCCCGAGGAGAAAATCGAGCAAGGAGTCGTAGGCCCTTCAAGACATTCCCATGTGGTTGAGCCCAAAGACGTGGAAGGTTATGTGAGGCCAAGCCGCACCAAGCCTCCAAGCCACCAAGTCTTGTCGAGTCGTCCCGGGCCTGTGGCATGACAGCTGTTATCGCCGGAACACAGGTAGCAAAGGCGCTTTGCACCTGCGCTAGTTCGTGCAGAAAACTGGTCCAGTACCATGGTCGTGCTTAAGAGCAGCGCGCTTCAAGATCAGAAGAATTCCCGAAGAGAAAAATCGAGCAAGGAGTCATAGGCCCTTCAAGACATTCCCATGTGGTTGAGCCCAAAGACGTGGAAGGTCATGTGAGGCCAAGCCACCAAGTCTTGTCGAGTCGTCCCGGGCCTGTGGCATGACAGCTGTTATCGCCGGAACACAGGTAGCAAAGGCGCTTTGCACCTGCGCTAGTTCGTGCAGAAAACTGGTCCAGTACCATGGTCGTGCTTAAGAGCAGCGCGCTTCAAGATCAGAAGAATTCCCGAGGAGAAACATCGAGCAAGGAGTCATAGGCCCTTCAAGACATTCCCATGTGGTTGAGCCCAAAGACGTGGAAGGTCATGTGAGGCCAAGCCACCAAGTCTTGTCGAGTCGTCCCGGGCCTGTGGCATGACAGCTGTTATCGCCGGAACACAGGTAGCAAAGGCGCTTTGCACCTGCGCTAGTTCGTGCAGAAAACTGGTCCAGTACCATGGTCGTGCTTAAGAGCAGCGCGCTTCAAGATCAGTAGAATTCCCGAGGAGAAAAATCGAGCAAGGAGTCATAGGCCCTTCAAGACATTCCCATGTGGTTGAGCCCAAAGACGTGGAAGGTCATGTGAGGCCAAGCCGCACCAAGCATCCAAGCCACCAAGTCTTGTCGAGTCGTCCCGGGCCTGTGGCATACCAGCTGTTGTTGCCAGAACACAGGTAGCAAAGCCCGCTTTGCACTGGCGCGAAAAGCACCTAAGTGTGGCAAGCGATGATGCGGAGTGTAAGCACGAGAGTGGGGCATCACCTGGCGCACGCCCTGGCGCACAGAGCAGCATACCTTGTGTCGCGCAGTGTGGCGCACATAATATGAGCTGCAGACCTATGTGCGGTACACCTGGCTGCAGCTTGAAATTGGTGGCACGTTGGAGCCAAGAACGCCTCTGAAAACGTCAGTTCGGTGGGGCCTTCCTGGCCGACAGGCTCGGCCAATTTGACAAAGATCAGGCGCTGGACCAGAGCGACCGGGAGGTGCATGCAAGTTTTCCACTGTGCGTTCCAGGTGGTCAATTTAGTCAACTTGGCATCTTGGGCATCTCATGGCAATCTTGCACAGCTTCAAGTGTTGCTGATCCTTGGCGCATGATCACCCGGTAAACTCGGCACAATCACCCTACGTTGTGCTGTCTGTCACACAAGGGATTAATGCTTTCCGGATTCAAAGCATGAAATTGTCTCACTTTGCGCCGCGACATTGTTGAGCATGGCACAGTTGACATCCAACTGCGTTGCTCTGCACGACCACGCCATACATAATCTAGCTTCAACAGAACATTAAAAGTGATCTTGCTCCTTTCCATTGGCAGCCTCTTTCGCATCGCAGACCCCGCTCCCTGCTCTACATGTGCACCTCACCACCACACTAGACCTACTCCCCGACTTCACATGCGGCCATCGTTGCAGAAGACAGCGACGCACTCAATCGCAGGCTTGCAGGTGCTGGCCACACTGCCTGCAACATGCACCACGCCTGTATGCGAGATCAAATTGTTCGGGCTTGTCTGGGATGTCTAATGCTGTCTCTGGCTCTGCATCGGTATGTTTCCGAGGCATTAAAATGTGGCAGGTGATGGCAGGTGGCTAACTGGTGGAAGTCACAAGAGAAGCCGTGCGAGTGTTCGGTTGCGAAGCATTCTTAACATGTGCCAGCAGGGAAGAGGCTTCGGTGGAAAACCCAGCGTGGCCGGACGCAAAGCCTGTCCAGTTGGTACAGTACCATCGTCGCGCTTAAGAGCTACACGCTTCCCGAAGAAGAGAGTAAGGAGTCACAAGCCCTACAAGACATTCCCATGTGTTTCCCAAAGAGAAGCCGGACCAAACCGGACCAATCCGTGCAAGCATCCAAGCATCCTTGCTTAGGTTTGCTTTTGTGCCCGTCTTTTGTCTGAACCCTGAAAGGATCCTCAGACGGCTCATATCATCCCACAAAAACGGAGCCTCTGGCCTCTGCATGCGGACACAGTGGAGCCTTGCCTTGAGACCCTAAACCCAGCGTAACCCCTTTGCGCGATACTCCCCTCATGGAGCCAGCAAGAGCGCACCTTGACAGCAAGAGGCCTCTGTGATTGCAAGACTGTGACATGTACATGACATGCACGTGTTCTGGCGCAGTGCACGGCTGCTTGGCAAGAGAATGTGACCTCTAGCGCAGAGTCGAAAGAATGTTTCGACCAGCTTGTGTGTAGAGATTCACAGTGATATCCACATGGTTTCTCAAACGAAAAGTTCCTCGGCTTCAATGTAGATATTGAGCTTTTGAAGTTCCCTTGTTTCTGGACTCGGCCTTGTTCCTTCATGGGAGTCAAACTGACGCTCTTATTTGAAACACACAGCTCGCGCGCCGGCTACTGCGGCTAACGTTCCAAGTTCGAAGGAGACCCGGGAGACCCGCGATCTCCTGAGAGCTGTCTGAAGAGCTTCAGGAAGCTTCAACAAGCTTCAGGCTTCAGGCTGAAGCCAAGGCTTGAGGCCACAGCATGAAGCTTAAGAAATCATCAAAGCGGGCTCCATCCTTTAGCGGTCGTTTTCAGGTTCACAATTTTATGACTCCCGGTGGGGCCTCTCAAGTTTGTGAATGTGTTCGCAGAAGGTTTTCGTGCCCTCGTCGCTGCATCCGTTCCAGGGTGCGCTGTACGAAGAGGGACTGGAGATGTTGCGAGAAAGGCGTGCTCCGCTCCTCCGCGTGAGCTGAACGACAAGATGTTTCTGGAGTTTATTGGGAAGAGATCTCAAACAAAAGGCGGCACTGGCATGTCACTCAAGAAGACGTCACTGGCGCAGTGCAACTGTCGGTCCTCGAGGCATTCTTAGGCCACTGAGGCCGCTGAGGCCGCCGAGCTGAGCTCACAATATCGGCCCTCATTGTGTGCTCTGGGGTGTCCTTGAAGTCCAAACCAAGGGATGGGCTGTCTTTCAGGATAAGTATGTGCTTAGAAGGGAATGTCTTGCCAGTGGCGGAGTGCCGATGCCCAGCGCTTGTGTTGAAATGTTGCAAGAAGCTGGTAAGACCCCAGATGCAAAAATGCTCGCAAGTTTCTTCAACATTAGACGGTTGAACTCGCTGCTCCACAGGGCCAAGTGAAAATCTATCCAGGTAGGAGGCTGAGCAGTCATTGCGTCAGAATCTAAAGGCAATACAGGGAGCAGACCCCCGCTGGAAGGCACCAGGATACTCGTCAAGCAGGGCCGCCCCTTGCAAGTGACTTGTAGTGAAGGTGCCAGCCAGGTACCAGCCACGCCTCAGCGGTTCAGAAGGGGCTGGCGACATACAAAATGACTAAAAGATGGGAACGCATCAGACCAATGGGTCGCTCGCGTGACGATCCGTAGCTCCTAGAAGAAAGCTCATGAGAACTCTTTACAATGCAGCGAGCTTACATTTTGCCCCACTTGGGTGATGAGCGACTGCAAGAAAAACCTGTGCATGCACCCCGCCACCTCCAACAGCCCTGTGCACAGCACGTGCACAGGAGATTTCAGATGTCTGCAACCGAGATGCTGCTCTCAGCATGACAGTCTCGCAATGTACTCCTACACCGTCAGTATGGACGCTAAGCTGACCTTTGAGGATCCCATAGACGCGAGTTTATAGGGGCTCGTTCGTGTTCGTGATTCGTGACGCTTTAGGGGTTTAGGATTCAGGGGTGTAGGGGTTAGGGTTAGGGCCCAGTTCGCACGGAGGTAGGTCAGCGCGCTTGAAAACGTCGCACGCACGTATTGGCAGAACAGGATTGTGTTGGTTGTGTATAGCTCTATGGCACATCCCGGCTACAGCCCTTTCACGCGTGTAAGGATTTAACACATCGGGCACCTGTGGTGTTCCGTAGGCTTCCTTGAGACATCGATAAAAAAGATGCCCTCCCTATCCACAGCAGAATTGAGACCTAGTCTGTTCCAACATCTCCCACTCTGGTCTGGATGCCCGCAGCCCCGGCTTGAACGGATGATTGGGCAGCTTGGTGTGTGTGTTCGAAAGCTGCGTCGCCCTGCGAAGTTGATGAAGTTGGTGTGAGCCAAGAAATCTCCGGTAGTTGGAGATGTGACACTCCCGTATTGAATGTTGTGTGCCTGACAAAGGGTAGATGACTTGCTCAGACACCTTGATACCAGTCGCAGCCTCGCAACTCGAAAACAAGAGGTCATGCGCGAGCATCGTGCGGATGAGTTGCAAGACCAGCTGATGCACCCCGACAAAGAGCATTGCATGCAGTTCTTGACCTGAGACATTAGATCATGGCACCGATCTTCCTTGTGCTAAGTCCATTCCTTTGCAGTGAGAGAGCGATCTCCTCACGACTGATCAGCCAAACGGTTCCTGGGCACTGCACCGCAACATGGTTTAAAGATGAGAGTTGTGAAAGCCCTCCTTGAAGCCTTGAATCTTGAAACCTTCCTTGCTTATGCCTTGACGGCTGAAGACCTCTACAGAGTTCACAGTTAGATATGTTAGATCAAGTCCCGTGGCCAAGCAGTGACACGGCCTAAGTGGACGAATGTCCTCAGGCCGTCCCTTTTGTGCTTGCAGATCTCATGCGAGTTTGCGTGTAGCTCTGCCAGCTATGCCGTGGTAAGAGTGCGTTATTCCAAGGCCTTGGTTTGCACCAAGCTTACTCCGACGTCCAAACCTCCCAAACAAAAGGCATCCGAAGCTGCGAGAGTTGCTCTGAGCTAGTCTTCGAGAGAACACCTAGATCCGCTAGGTGATGGTCTGAGCTCTTGAAGGTCTTGAAGCTGATGTCCACTTTTGGAGAGCGCTGGAGAACACATTTGCAGCGCGCTGGCATCGTGTTTTCTTTTATGATTGTTATTCTTCTCTCTTCTTTGCTCTTCCCTTAGTCTCTTAGTCTTCTCTTCTCCTCATCCATCCTCATCCTTAACCTTCGAGCATCCTTCTATGTTGGCCAATATTCCATGAATAAGTTTTAGTGGACGAGTGGGCATCCCATCCTTATAGTTCGGGGTGGGGGTGGCCATGGTGGGATGGTTTGAATCGTGCTTTGTCTTGTTTTTTGTGAGGCCGAGGGTAGGGCGGGGTGAAGGAGGTGGGGTCGGGGGCCAAGAAGGCGGTCTGGCCACGTTGATGTTCCGCGGCGCAACATGGTGTAGCGTTTCCGTTGTTTCAAGGATCCTGCCGCAGCATTCGGCCCGATCCTTGCGAGGGGTGAAGGAAGATTGCTGCAGACGGGCCTCAATGAAGCTATGGCTGCACATTGTGCACTTTGTTGGGGCCATTTCCACCCAACTCCGGCATAATGTGGGGCATTGGAAGTGCCCTGCTGATACGGGAGCCTGTTATTGTCAGTGTGGGTCTGTGGCATTGGCAGCAGCAGGGGCCAGCTTAGCACAAATCATTGGAGACGTGCCTATTCCACCCTTGCCACCTGTGGCGCTTCCACCATTCCCACCCGCAAGACTACCGGCTATGGCAACATTTACTAGTGTGACGGAGGATGATCTACCCACATTGGGACCACCGCCGGCAACGACGCCTCTGCCAACCTTGCCACCAACTGTCCCTCCCACGGCTGCTTATCCGTTTTCAGTGCAGGCCCAGGCCAACATGTTGCGCGGCAATGCTGGTGCCCTAGATGCGCAACACAATGTTCATCAGTATGTGTTTCAACCCAGCAGCTCGATTGCAAGCACAAAATCTTACTTTGTGGCAGGTTGTTGTTTGTGTGTCACACACAGTGTGTGTGTGTGTGTGTGTGCTGATGGGTGTGAAGATGCGTGAAGACAAGTGCAGAACCATTCTCTCGCAGGCAGTGGGTCCTATGGCTTGGAAAGCAGCACCACATCAGCGGCTCCACAGGAGGCCGGCAACACGTGACCTTGGTTGCGAGCGTAAGCTGCGTTGTTGCTTTACCGCTTTGTGAGTGTAGGTAGTCCTTGGTTGTTGTGGCGGAATTTCGGTGCAGGACTCTGTCAAGCAAGCGCTGGTGCAAGAATCGTTGAAGGAGGGAGTTGCGTGCCATTGCCAGGAATAGACCCTGCAAAGTGTGCAGACATTTGCTTCCAGCTTGAATTTCACTTGTAGAAGGGCAAAGCCCCTGCACATTCCAAAAGGTGATCGTTCATCGGAGTTTGGTGTATTTGGGTTTTCTTCGAGCACCAGCGAACAAGTCTCTGACCACATGTGGCAGGAACAGAGCTCCAACTTCGGGAATTTTCGCGTTCGTAAGCCCCAATGAAGGCACCGCAGAATACGGAACCCTTGGACCGAACCCAAGCCCGCTGATCCTCCCAAACATGCCACAGGGCAAGCTCTAAGCCTAAACCATAAGATATTTTTTGGGGGGGTTCTAGAATGAGGATTATATTATTTCAGGGCCCATACGGTTTATGAGGATTACCATTACATAGAATTGGTAGGTTTTCCCTCAGGCCGAACGTCATACATCAAGGGATAGGCAATGCACAGACGCCCCAGAAAGCTGAACTGCACACGACGGACTTCAACCAGGAACGAATGCCATCCTAACTCACGTGAGTCCGCAGCGCCTGGCGTGCCAGAAGGCCACTGAAGCAAGTTTTTTTTCGTCTCCAGCCTCTTGATTGGGGCGGCTTCCACAAGTTCAGAACCGTATAGCTCATACAGCATGGATGGCCTTACATATATATTTTAAGGGGCTGCGCCCATGGGCGGGCAGCGCACGCAGAAGCCTGGGGCGAGCAGTTTCTAAGCATGTTGAGGCCCCTAAACTCCCTTAAAATCTCTAAGCGTTAAGTTTCTAAGCATTTTCAGGCCCCTAAACTCCCTTCAAATCTCTAAGCGTTTGAGGCTCCTAGACTCCCTTAACGTTTCTAAGCACTTTATAAGGCCCCTAAACTCCCTTTTTCCTAGCCCCGGGCTTAGACACGTCGCTTATGCCCGCCCTTTGGGGGGCATCATGCTCCTGATGCGCCCCCGGGGTCCCGCCCCGGGAGCCGCTGATGCTCCTGATGCGCGCCTGGGGGTCCCGGGCTGGACCCGCTGATGCTCATGATGCGCGCCCTCTGGGGGCCTCCGTGGCGACGCAAAAAACCACGAAAAAAAAACCGTTCACCGGCGGCACGCGGGGGTCGGCGGCACTGGCGTCCGGCCTAATTCTGCTTCGCAGAAGGCCAGAGGCCAGCAAGGCTATTCCCGGGACGACCCGGGCTAAAAGGTCCGCATTTGCTCGGTCCTTTGGGGACCTCGCGCTGCCCGATTTAAAGGCTGACGCCGCTGCCGCCGACCCCCAAGATAAGGATGTCCGGGCACCGGGCCATCTTCCGGACCCGCCCGCTTAACAACAAATTCGGTTGCTTTTGGTCCTGCTCCTGTGGGGGGGGCTAGGCAGGGGGGGGCAGAGGGGGGGGGGGGGGGGGGGGGGGGGGTAGGAGGTTACGGGCGGTAGGGGGGGGGAGGGGGGAGGGGTACGAGGTGGGGGTAGGTAGGGGAAGGGGGGGCACTTGCCCCTTCCAAATTCGGGTGTGCTTTTGGTCCTTCTTGTGGGTAGGGGGGGGGGAGGGGGGAGGGGGGGGGGTACAGGTGGGGCAGGTAGGGGTTTTGTGGGGGGGCTAGGCAGGGGGGGTTCGGGGGGGGGAGGGGGGAGGGGGGGGGTACGAGGTGGGGGTCGGTAGGGGGGAGGGAGGGTGCAGCCAACACAAAACGTGTGGTTCCACCCACTTGCCCCCCTTCCAAAACAACAAATTCGGTTCCACTTGGCCGCCTTCCAAAACAACAAATTCGGTTGCTTTTGGTCCTTCTCCTGTGGGGGGGGGCTAGGCAGGGGTAGGGTGCAGCCAACACAACGCGTGGTTCCACCCCTTGGCCGCCACAAATTCGGTTGCTTTTGGTCCTTCTCCTGTGGGGGGGGGCTAGGCAGGGGTAGGGTGCAGCCAACACAAAACGCGTGGTTCCACTCTTCTCCGCCCGCCAAAACAACAAATTCGGTTGCTTTTGGTCCTTCTCCTGGGGCAGCCGCGCGGGTCCATGGGGAGGGGCACTAGCGGGTCCAGCGGGAAAGGTACGAGTCCAGCTTCTTGACGCCGACAAAGGGGGTCGGCGGATGATTGAACAAAAAGCAGTGTGGAGCTGGCGATTCTCCAGCCAAGAAACAGACTGGCGCAACTTTCTCGTGCAGTTGTTTATGAGATGATTGCAAGAAGGGTCTCATGTTGGGTGTAATTCAAAATTTTGTGTCCGACGTGTTTTAATCTGATTGCAGGGTCAACCCTAGAGAGCTTGGCCAGCCAGGCAGGCTTTTGAACAGCCTTGTTTGTTTGGAGAGTTCGCTGCCAGCACGTGGGCCGACGAAGTTAAACAGATCCTTAAGATGGGAAGCAGAGGAACAGATGGACACGAAATATTCTATGGAACTGGAATTGTTCTGTTAACCCTCCACAGTTTGGGGCCTGAAGTGGTCTGTTGGGGCCCCCCTCAGAAACCGAATGCATAAGATTGAATGGTCGCAGTTCGCCCGAATCGCTTTGGGGCGTTCCGCAAGCACTCCGAATGCCTTCGCTTGGACTCCGAACCCCCATTTCTCTCTGAACACTGTGAGCATTGTGACATCACTTTCGACAGCACTTTTGACATCATTCCCTGGCTCAGTGTCTCCAATCCTTGTGAAGTGCTGGGATGTTACGCTTAACAGGTTACAGCGAGTCTACCAGAGCGAGTCTACGAGTCGTTTCACGGCAATAAGGGTTCCAACATGCAGAGTATGTGGGGCAGCTCGATACTGTGGCCGCGCTCACCCTTCTCAAAGCTTGGCTTCTGGGTTGGCGAAATGCCAATTTGAGTGCTCTGGACTTCCCCCCAAACAGTGAGTCAACACTCAGGGCAGCCAACGTCTAGAGCAAATAGGAGGGGCTAGATCGGATAGTACATGCGGCACGCGCGCCCCCCGTGTGCTTTTTCCCGAAGCTTGCACGAATTTGGGATGAACATCGCACTCTCGCCTAGGCGAGGGCGTTGCGACGCTCGTTGTGCTCGAAATTTCATCGTTTTGGACTTCAGTGCTCGCGAAATGCGAAATGGTAATCGTCGTCGTCGACGTCGTCGTCGTGGCTTTTGGACATCTGCGCTCGCGAATTGCGGAACTCTCATCTTTTGGACATTGGGTTCGGGGCTCGCAGGGGCTCACATGGTCTCTCAAGATTTGGGGTCTATGCTGGCAGTTTTTGAGTACAGGAAAGTGAGTTGAATGAGATGCTATTCTTTCATGTCGCAGTGTAATGGTAGCGGAGGGAGGACTCGTGTTCTAATGGCAGGTCTCCGCAAACCCATTCATTGCATGCTTTTGCAGTGGCTCCTTGATAGTTTGACGAAAGTTGCCTGATGCGCTCCGGTTGCTCAAAGAGCAAGAGCTTGCAGTCTCCATGAGTAAAAAACGCAGTCATGTGGGTTGTTGTTTGCAGTTTACAGTGGCTGGGCATAAACTTTAAACGAATCAGTGAAGACCCTCCTGGTGCTAGCAGTACACACATGTGTCATTTCACATCTTCGTCTTTCGTGATTTCAGCTTCGTGAGCGATGCGCCATCCAATGAGCTGTCGTTGGATGCGGCCTTAGGGGTGTGCTCCCAGAGCCCCGCTCTCACACGGGCCGTGAATGAGAAAGGCCAGGATCTAAATCAAAGGGTCTCAGCACTTGAGATCAAAAGGGGGTCAGCTCCCAAAATGTCTTAGAAAACCTGTTTTGCACAGTCTGGCTGATGCGGAGGCCTCAGCTGGTACAGGACGAGGTTCTTCGAGCTCCAGCTCAGCAGGCATGTTGGGACTTTTGGGATATATTGTTTGTCCAGACACCCAGACTGCTCGTTGAAAGGTGTTCCACGTCACCTAGTATGGGGACGACCAGAGCTTGAAAGTTCCAGTTCGGCCGGGGTCTTTCAGCATTCGTTTGCTGGATTGCAGTGGCAGCAGAGCTTGCAGAGTGGCCTATACGAAGCTCTCCAATTGCCGGGGGGTGCAACAATATGGGGACTGGAGCCTCCTGGGGCCCGATGTCTTCCTCTTTCGACTTGCAGCGCCTACAAGCTTTGCCTCTCTCGCACCTCTCTTGTAACTTGCTCGCAAGCTGCGCATTCTGGTGACTTTGACACTGTGATTGATTCCTGTGCTCCCGGCTGCCAGCAACATACAGATCGCACAGTCCTCCATCATTGTTTGCCCTCTTGAAACTTGAAGGCTTGTGATACCTTGTGGGGCCACTTATGATGTTGACTCGGCATGAGCTTGGAACCTCATTAGGAACAGGGAGAAGCTGAGAAGCAATGCATCTGCCAGCCTGGTATCGCCTTTGTGATGTCGGGAAGCATGTTCAAGCCTTCAGACAGATGGGCTTGTTGATCTTTCTCCTTTTTTGTGTGTCGTGATCGTGCAGTCAACACCCTGAGCGATCAATTCGAAGACGTGTACTTTTGTTTTCCCATTTGGTTTTCATTTATGCCCTTGTTTTGATGTTTCTATGTTTACCAATGGACAAACTACTTCGGGGTGATTGCGTTGGGAGTATGGGCTACGAAATCGATGACCCTTGCGGTGGTTGTTGTGGCCGGATGCTCTCGCCTAGGTGCCATGCGCAAGTCGCGAACGATGGCGACCCGCTCGCTGTTTCCGAATTTCCGGTCTTGCCTAGGCGATGCGCGCATTTCAGGCCCCCCCGCAAACATCGAGAGTGCTCCCAAGCATCATGCTTTTGACATCACGGAGGGTGCCAACTTGCGCTCTCGCCTAGAACCATGCGCGATTCAGAAACTGGACGCGATTCAAGAAACCAGGGTTCAGGAAACCAGGATTCAGGAAACTGCGCGATTCAGGAAACCAGGATTCAGGAAACCACGCGATTCAGGAAACTGCGCGATTCAGGAAACTGTTTTCCCGCGATTCAGGAAACCGCGGTTCAGGAAACCACAAGATTCAGGAAACTGAAAACACGCGATTCAGGAAACCGCGCGATTCAGGAAACTGACAGCACGCGATTCAGGAAACTGCGTGATTCAGGAAACTGCGCGATTCAGGAAACTGCGCGATTCAAGAAACCAGCGGATTCAGGAAACCACGCGATTCAGGAAACTGCTCGATTCAGGAAACTGCGCGATTCAGGAAACTGCACGATTCAGGAAACTGCGCGATTCAGGAAACCACGCGATTCAGGAAACCATGCGATTCAGGAAACCGCGCGATTCGGGCCTGTTGAAATGTGGGGGGCTGCTTTGTGACACTAACCGTTGAAGCGCATTGGGCTCCAGCAGCCATTCAAGCAACAGCATTGGGCTCCAGCCTGTTGAAACTGGGTCTCGGGGGGGGGATGATAGCGTCAAGGACAAGGCTGCTTTGTGACACTAACCATTCAAGCGCATTGGGCTCCAGCAGCCATTCAAGCAACAGCATTGGGCTCCAGCCTGTTGAAACTGGGTCTCGGCGGGGGGGGGGATGATAGCGTCCAGGACAAGGCTGCTTTGTGACACTAACCATTCAAGCGCATTGGGCTCCAGCAGCCATTCAAGCAACAGCATTGGGCTCCAGCCTGTTGAAACTGGGTCTCGGGGGGGGGGGGGATGATAGCGTCCAGGACAAGGCTGCTTTGTGACACTAACCATTCAAGCAACTCCAATTCGCGGTTTCCGAATCCGCGTTTTCCAGTTTCCTGAATCAGCTGGTTTCCGAATCCGCGTTTTCCAGTTTCCTGAATCAGCTGGTTTCCGAATCCGCGTTTTCCAGTTTCCTGAATCAGCTGGTTTCCGAATCCGCGTTTTCCCGTTTCCTGAATCAGCTGGTTTCCGAATCCGCGTTTTCCAGTTTCCTGAATCAGCTGGTTTCCGAATCCGCGTTTTCCAGTTTCCTGAATCAGCTGGTTTCCGAATCCGCGTTTTCCAGTTTCCTGAATCAGCTGGTTTCCGAATCCGCGTTTTTCAGTTTCCTGAATCAGCTGGTTTCCGAATCCGCGTTTTCCAGTTTCCTGAATCAGCTGGTTTCCGAATCCGCGTTTTCCAGTTTCCTGAATCAGCTGGTTTCCGAATCCGTGTTTTCCAGTTTCCGGAATCAGCGGTTTCCAGTTTCCGAATCCGCGTTTTCCAGTTTCCTGAATCAGCTGGTTTCCGAATCCGCGTTTTCCAGTTTCCTGAATCAGCTGGTTTCCGAATCCGCGTTTTCCAGTTTCCTGAATCAGCGGTTTCCAGTTTCCGAATCCGCGTTTTCCAGTTTCCCGAATCAGCTGGTTTCCGAATCCACGTTTTCCAGTTTCCTGAATCAGCTGGTTTCTCGAATCCTGGTTTCCCGAATCCGCGTTTTCAGTTTCCGAATCCGCGTTTTGTAGTTTCCAGAATCAGGGTTTTCCAGTTTCCGAATCCGGCGCGTTTCCAGTTTCCGAATCCGCGGCTGACCGTCATAGGTCTTGTGCGCATGTCGTACTTGAAGCCGTGCCCTTGCAGTGGTCCTGATCCGTTTCGCGAAAACGTAGCAGGGACGGACGGCGCTTTCATGCATGCTGAGCTCTTGGATGGTGTGGCTTCGTGCGATGCTCGTGGAGTGTCCTTAAAGTGTGACGTGGCGTTTGGGGGTCTCTGCCGGCATAATTTCGCTTCCCAGTTCTGAGACTATGTTCAACCCAGACAGCGCTGCCCATGCTTCGCAGCAGGATCAAAGGTGTGCCGCATTTCCCGGGTGTCTGACTTTCAGGCTTCAGTGAAGGACCCAGTATGCAGTCTTTGACGAGGCACCCATACATTCCTGCCTGCTTGTTTAGCAGCACGCATTTTTCCCAAAAACGCCGAAATGCGAAAGCTCGATGTTTGCGACAGTTGAAGTTCTGATTTAGACGAGGGGAGGGCTTTCTTGAGAACCGCGCAGATTTGAAAACTGATTTTGATGCGCTGAACTGACTTGCCATGCCATGCCCAGGCACGTAGTCACGACATAGTCATGTTGGACTGAAAGATTCGAGCTTTTCGGTTGAGTCTTCGGCGTGTCGTCGAGTTCTATGGCATGCCCATTGCATGCCCGATGGCGCGGAAGATATTTGTTTTGGGAACATTCAGTGTTTTTGTCTTTAATGTTCTCTCCTTCAGGGAGAAGACCTCTTCAGCCCATATGAAGACAAGGATCGAAGGCGCGCCAGCACTTTGCACTTTTCACTCTCCATTTCGTGACAAGTCCGGCTTGTGCTGTAAGGATGGGCCACGGGTTTGCAGCTAGGCAGGGCGCCGGGATTTGAGCGGACTGGCATGGATTTTCATTGCAGTTCAGCATCGCATCTTAACCCCAAACGCAGGAAGGCTCGGAACGAGCTCGTGTAGGCAAAGGTGATTCGTGACAACCTGGCACGCACCAGGAATACCCAGCTGGAGCAGCAGATGCAGGAACAGATGCAGGAGCATGGCGATACTTCCAATCCTTCCAATCCTTCCAGCTCCGTATCTTGTCATCATGCATCATCGTAGCTTCGTGGCTTCGGATTTTGAAGGTGCAAGCTTTGGAGATTTTGGGTTCAAAGCTTGCCAGACAGCCTCGTGTTTAGGGCAGTTGGAGATGGTTTTGTGTCATTTCAGGCAGGCTCTGTTCTGTGTTCTGTGTTCTGTGTTCTGTGTTCTGTGTGTGTGTGTGTTTGTACCAAGACGAGCAGCTCGGACACCAAGAAGTCTGGCAAGGACTCCGCGAAGGACTCCGGGCACTGACATGGGAAGTGTCCGAGAGCCTGAGAGTCCGTGGAACGGAGCCAGGACGGGTCTTCCATGCCGGCTTCGTCGGCCAAGGCAGCCAGAAAGCATCGGAAAGCAGCTCATAGCAAGACGGAGTAAGTCTTGTCATCTTTTGGACGTTGACCAGGTGTATGTGAAGGATTTCTATGCGAAGTTGAAGGAAGTCGCAAAGCACACATCTCCCAGCAACAGGCCGCTCCCAAGACTCACTTGCGGCGACTTCTCTAGAAAGCATTGCGCGAGGTACTGGTTCTGACAGTGATGTGTGGTGCAAGCGGTTGATGTTTTTTGGAAACGGCTGAGTTCTTGCGATGGGCCGGAGGTTTAGGCTTGACTTTTCACTTTGGCTTTTGCTTTGGCTGGCGTGTGAGCCACGATCTGATAATTCAGAGCTATGGTACTTCCAACAGCTCGAAATCCTTCCAAACGAGTTGCAAGCGACAAGTTTCGGTGAGTGCGCGTTTTGTCGGCCCAAGGGGCCAAGCCATGATGGGGGTCTGGGGTGGGACTTGATCCGAACATGTGACTCGTTTGCCCTGCAGTCGTAGCATGTTCTGCATGTTATCTTTGGTTCCTCCCTATGGTCACGTCTGCGGCTTTGCAATGGCAACCTGAAGGTCTATGTATCTTCATGTCATGTAGGTCGTGTCATCGGTCCATGCGGCTTGGCGTCGCATACATGACAAAAGGGGGTAACAGCACAAGTTTTTTGAAGCTGCCCCAGCGTGTGCGTCCCTAGCAGCTGGTCTTCTGGTCCACGCGTAGAGCGAAATTTTGACTCAAGTCTACACGCAGCGAGACCTTCTTGTCTCTTCACACTTTGCCCTAAAGGGGCTGCAATTGCGAGGACAGCCTGGGACGCCGATGAGGTGGCAGAACTGGCAAGGCTTCTCGACGACGAGGTCCGCAGAGTCAGCACCCTGTTGGACTGGGAAAAGGGATCTGAGCAGCTGCAGGCTGACGACGAAGACAGAGCCGAAGAAGAGGAAGATGATGATGACGAAGATGAGCCCGACGGCACCGTTCTAAGTGAGGTTGCGACGATCAATTCTCACGATTGTTGGCCACTCCATCAACTTGAATCGCTGCAGGTGAGTGGTCGGTGGGATCCGAGAACCACGCGACAGGGCAGTGCAGGATTGCCCAAGTTGGCTTGGATCATCTCGGATCACGAGTTGAGTGCGAGGACAAAACAAATCAACAAAACACGGCAGGAGGAACGGGGGAGAAACAAAGAGGAACGGGGAGGAACAGCGAGGAAGGAGAAGGAATGACGAGAGCGAGGAGGAGGGAGGACATACTGTGAAGTGCGTCACGTTAGCCGCTTTAATTAGATAGCTTTCGCAATGCTGCCCTTATACAGTCGTGTCGGTACATAGAACCGCTGGAATCAAGAGATGTGGAAAGCAGATACTGGCATCTTCGAGGTGGCCTTGCCATCGCCTTGCCATCACACAACTGCAGCGTGGGCAAAGGGCCCAAGAGCAAGCAAACCCAAGGCTTTGGATATGTGCCCTAGACCATTGACAAGTACAACGCACTTTACTTGACCGATACCTCGCAAAACGCCGATCCAAGTGCACGCTTTCGCGTAGTACTCGGCAAAAATCGCTAAAGCATGACTAAAACTGATTTGGGAAGCAGTGCGCTCTGAACCCTGATGGCATTGACGGGCTGTATCGGGCTGTCCTGCAACATTGATTTGTGGTCGCTTATGGCATGAAGGGCTGAAGGGTCTTTCGTGCCTGAAGGCCCTGCCATTACGTATGCACCTCAGAGTCTTCTTTCCGAAAGTGTTTTCCCTCATATACCGTCGGTCTTCCTATCTGTGCAGGTCTTCTCGAAAACTGGCTGCACAAATGGTACAGCGCAAGACCCTCAGATCTCCGAATGCACGCAGGATCTCAGAGAGTTGCGGAGTTTGTGGTTTGGTGGTATCCTGCAAGTGAGACATTCAGTATGGTGGACACATGAGGGAATGAGTTTCGTTGAAGCAGATTCGGGCAGACGCCAAAAGAAGTAGCCTCATTTTGGTTGTCCAGAAGATGCACCATGCAACCTGGGCAATCAAGGTGTACATTCTGTCATTTGCCACATCCGAAAAGGTTCAGGCCAAGACCCTGCAAGCCCGCATCCCAAGCGACTTCGATGTTCCTGCATGTGGCATGTGCGGATATGTGTGGGCTCGGGGCTTCCATGGACTCCCTATAATCTCCTTCGTACGAAGGAGGAAGACTTATCTTGCCTATGTTCAGGTCCAAACGCCACAAGTGTAAGCGCTTGGCGGCCGTCCTGGACAAGGCACAGTGCTTCAGGTGTTGTCGTTCCGTATCGTCTCAGCACGAGTTAGATGTGGTGCTGCCGGCGGGCCCCTTGACGCAGGTGCGGTAGTCCCCCTGCCCCCGGCCATCCCACCCGCAACGTGGCACCACTCACTGTGCCAGTCGCGCCATGGCAGGTTGCGGCGAAAGAGCTGGTGGCCCCCCCTGAAAGAAAGGTGGAAACATAAGGGGCTTCACCCTACTGGTAGCCTTGCGCCTGGCTCCTCACAATACGGGCGTACGAGCCGTGAGGGCTTGACTTGGGAGTTGAAGTCTGGGGGGGGGGAACCCACCAGCATTAGTGCGCAAAACGGCGGCTAACTGCCCTGTCGGAAGCGACATCGTGAAACAAAGTCAAATTCAGTTGCGGGTTGCGCATGCTTTTGTCGGGGCCTCATGTAAGACCGGTAAGTAGGGATAAGCGTACCACGGAGCGTTGGTGATGAGGGGGACCTGTGAAGAGGACGTAGAGGCAAACCGTGCAATTCCAACTCCAGAGCCGCACTTGGGAGCAACTAGCGCGAGAGGGCCGCGGGCAGCACGGCGAAGGGCAAAGTGGCCGTTCCGGGTGCCGGTAGGGGTCTGGGGGATGCATGGTTGTTGGAGCCACCTTGGACAAGGAAACGTTCTGAGATGGAAGCCCAGAAGAAGCTAGGAATAGGTGGGCGCTGTACAACACGCCCAACACTGACATAGAGACCCCTAAAGCCCTACAAGGCGCAAGCCAGGGGAACAAGAGGAGGGGCAGCTGTCGCAACCGAGGGGGACGGAGGAACGAGCGAAAATTACTGGGGTATGCACGTGAGCTAAGATTGTTCCGCGTGCACCATGAAGTAGCGATCGTGCGGCAGTGTTGGAGGTTGGGGATTGACGAGCCGATGAGCCCTCTCCATTGGCCATCCGTTTCGACCGAAGGTCGCTCGATGTCGCTCGTGGATAGTCCGCTGAGGCGAAGTGAAAATAGGAGGCTTCACTTGATTTCACTTGGGCACTGCATCCCCTTGTTCCCAGGTCACTGTGCCGTAAGCGCATGATGTGGGACGAGTGGCTGGGACAAACGAACCAATGTCAAGTCGAGTAGGGGTAGCTCGGCGGCCCTGTAAGACGCCCTGCCCGGATAGGAACGGTTGGAGTTCTCAGTTGCCAGCTCGTATATATATATATATGTATATGTATATGAGAAAGATGAGAACAGGAGGCCTCACTCTTCGCACGCGGGGCAGTGCATTACATGCCCCATCATGCCCTCAAGCCTTGCTTCCCACATTCCGGGCCTGCCGAGATGCTTTTTGAAACAAAAGGCCAGTGGGCTTGCGGCGGATTGCAGCGGTCTGACAATTGTCAAGTTGCCGAGTTTTAGCACAGGTGTTGGATGATGACCCTGACGCATTTCAGAACGTGGTGGATCAGCTTAGTGCCCAAGGCGAGTCTCCACAAACATCTCCCTGGGATCTGTCGGAACAAGTCAAGTTTGAGTTTGGTAATGTTTTTTCTCAATACTTTGCAACGATGAGCGTTTCAGGTGGATACCTGAACACAGTGGTCAAAAGCAAGGTAAGAAGCCTTCAGCAGAAGGCTCAGGCCGGAACCTTGTGTTCACATTCCCACTACGCAGTTTTCAAGCGCGCACGCTGCCAGGGTTCAGAACAGCCACAGGACGCACGGCGTGTGCTGAAGCCAGGATTAGTATCTTTGTGAGCCCCACCGGGTTACAGCTTTCCCCATCGACGCGGTCTGCCTAGAGCAGTTCCCGTAGCGGTGCTCGCAGGCTTGAACAGCGTGACCCGGGCATCCTGAAACCGATACGCATGGAAACCCATGGTATGTCGTCTGGTAAAATGCTTCAGGTTGTGGGATGACCGGGCGAATTTTTCAACGCTCGGTTTCTTTCAGGAAGCATGAAATCGAACGTGCTTTGCCAGCATGTCGAAGGCCATCGCTGGTTTACATGTCCTAGACTCCTGGGTTCTGGCGAGAGGGGCCTCGATTCAGGCGAAGTTCGTTGTGCCGAATTGTGTCAGCCTCCCCTACATTGTAGATCGAGCTCGTGACAGGTCACGAGCTCTGCAGCTCATGCTTTAGGCACTGCAGCTGCATAGCTTTGTAACTGGGACCACATATTATGACTTGCGACTCCGTGAAAGGTGTCACAAAGCAGCTCTTGCACCGGCTGCGTCCCACTCTGTGAAGTCTTGTCGTTCTTGTAGAACCTTCACTCTACTTTCCTGCGCCACTGAAGCCGTTGCAACACAGTCTCCGGTGTGTGCGCGCGCATGTATGTATGTATGTCTGTCTGTCTGTCTGTCTGTCTGTCTGTCTGTCTGTATGTATGTATGTATGTATGTATGTATGTATGTATGTATGTGTGTGTGTGTGT